GTTCACAAATTACAAAATTCCAAATTTTTAATTGCAGTTCTTTGTTCGAGGTTCAACAAAAATGTGCTCCGAAACGATTCTAAATGGTTCTTTTCTGTTCCGAAATCGTTCGGAGTAAAATGAAAATATTAGACTGGTTCATGATCAGGTATGCGTTCCATGTTCCATGATATTCCTGAACTATTTGCTTTATTTTCAATCAGGATTCAGAACTGATTCGGAACTATTTTGCATGCTCAGTTCAATTTATTAAGTTCACAAATTACAAAATTCCAAATTTTTAATTGTAGTTCTTTGTTCGAGGTTCAACAAAAATGAGCTCCGAAACGATTCTAAATGGTTCTTTTCTGTTCCGAAATCGTTCGGAGTAAAATGAAAATATTAGACTGGTTCATGATCAGGTATGCATTCCATGTTTTATGATATTCCTGAACTATTTGCTTTATTTTCAATCAGGATTCAGAACTGATTCGGAACTATTTTGCACGCTCAGTTCAATTTATTAAGTTCACAAATTACAAAATTCCAAATTTTTAATTGCAGTTCTTTGTTCGAGGTTCAACAAAAATGTGCTCCGAAACGATTCTAAATGGTTCTTTTCTGTTCCGAAATCGTTCGGAGTAAAATGAAAATATTAGACTGGTTCATGATCAGGTATGCGTTCCATGTTCCATGATATTCCTGAACTATTTGCTTTATTCTCGATCAGGATTCAGAACTGATTCGGAACCAGTTCGCTTGCTCGGTTCAATTTATGACGTTCACAAATCATAAAATTCTAAATTTTTAGTTACAGTCCTTTGTTTGAGGGAGTCGATTCCGGATTGATTTTAAATGGTTCTGAGTTATTGTTTTCTGTTCCAAAATTGTTCGGAGTAAAATAAAAATCTTGAACTGGTTCCTAATCATGTATGGATTTCATAGGTATATTCTATTCACAATCTGTAGTCCAAAGGTACAGGTAAATTTATCACCTTTCCCTATCAAATAGCATTGAAAGGTGATAAATTTTACCTGTACCTATGTACATCGGATTGTGAATGGATAATACTTTCTTTTCAGAGTATTGAAACTCCAGGCTTCGACGCTCTGGGACGCGCCAGTGCACGCTCTGAAAAGAACTAAGGATCATATAATTATCTGACACTAGTGACAGTTCGAACACTGGAGCTATAGAGCTTCGACACCAGCGGTAGGGATAGGCGACCCCGGGGTTTGACGCCCCGATTAAAAAGAACAATTCTTTATATTTCAAAATCGTCCCTAAAAAGAAAACAGCTCTTGTTGTTCTATACTAGAATATTCCTGCCCTATTTGCTTTATTCTCGATTCGGATTCAGAACTGATTCGGAACTAGTTCGCATGCTTAGTTCAATATGTGACGTTCACAAATCGTAAAATTTTGAATTTTTAGTCATATTTCTTTGTTCGAGGTTCAACTAGAATCGATTTCATATAGTTCTGAGTTTTCGTTTTCTGTTCCAAAATCGTTCGGAGTAGAATAAAAATCTTGAACTGGTTCATAATCAGATATGCGTTCCATGTTTCATGATATTCCTGAATTATTTGCTTTATTCTGGATCAGGATTTAGAACTGATTCGGAACTAATTCGCATGCTCAGTTCAATTTATGACGTTTACAAATCATTAAGTTCTGAATTTCAAATCACAGTTTTTTGTTCGAGGTTCCGGAACGATTCTGAGTTGACGTTTTCTATTGCGAAATCGTTCGGAGTAAAATAAAAATCTTGAACTGGTTTTATTCTCGATCAGGATTCAGAACTGAGTCGGAACTAATTCGCATGCTGAGTTCAATTTATAACGTTTACAAATTATAAAATTCAAAATTTTCTATTAATAGTTCTTTGCTCTAGGTCAACTAAATTCGGTTCCGGATCGAGTCTAGGAATATAATAACAAAACCTCAATTTTCGAAACCGTTCTGAATTAGTTTCATACACAGTTCTTTGCAATATTTGCTCTAAGTTCAACAAGAATCAATTCTGGATCGATTTCAAATGGTTCTGAGTTTTTGTTTTCTGTTCCGAAATCGATTGGAGTAAAATAAAAATGTTGAACTGGTCCATGATCAGGTATACGTTCCATGATATATATGAACTATTTGCTTTATTCTCGATCAGGATTCATAACTGATTTGGAGCTAATTTGCATGCTCAGTTCAATTTATGACGTTCACAAATCATAAAACTCTAAATTTTTAGTTACAGTTCTTCGAGGTTCAACTAGAATCAGTTCCAAAACGATTCTAAATAGTTCAGAGTTTTTATTTTCTGTTCTAAAATTGTTCGGAGTAAAATAAAAATCTTGAACTGGTTCATGATCAGGTATACGTTCCATGTTCCGCAGCTCTTTGTTCTGGGTCAACTAGAATCGGCTCTGGATCGAATCTTAATTAGTTCTACCTTAGTGCAGGTAAAGCGCTGTCCTACGGACATAAGGAGTAGGAACGCGCCATTCTGCTTATGAAACTAAAGTGAAGCTAAGTTTTTGGCAGGTATTTAGCACCAAAATACAGGATTGAATTGCCTATACCGCCATTTTTTAAATGCCAAAATACCTGGAAAAAAACGGCTTCATTTTCCAACTCCATGTTACTACTCCTTGACCTTTACCTGCTCTAACAGTTCTACCGACTCTAGGAATATCAAAACTAGAGGTTCCAAAACCGTTCTGAATCAGTTCAAAATTGATTCAAAAATTGTTCTAAATCAGTTCCAAACTGGTTCGGGATCTGATCCCTTGATAACGTTGCGTTCGCAATTAGATCCAGAACTGATTTGAAACATTAACAGTTCTAATTATATCGTTCAGAAATCAATAAATTCCAAATTTTCTGTTACAGTTCTTTGTTCTAGGTCAATAAGAATCGGTTCCGGATCGAATCTTACTTGGTTCTACCAATTCTAGGAATATAACAAAATCACAATTTTCGAAACTGTTCTAAACTAGTTCCATATACAGTTCTTTGCAATCTTTGCTCTAAGTTCAGCTCGGTTCCGGATCCAATCTGTACTGGTTTTACCAATTTTGGAAATATCAATAATTAGAGATTCTAAAACCGTTCTAGATCAGTTCAGAACTGATTCAAAAATCGTTCTATATCAGTTCCAAACTGGTTCGGAATCTGATTTGTTGATAATTTGATTCAGAACTGATTTGGAACATTGACAATTCAAATTATTTCGTTCAGAAATCAATAAATTCCAAATTTTCAGTTACAGCTCTTTGTTCTGAGTTAACTAGAATTGGTTCCGGATCGAATTTAACCTATTTCTACCGATTTTAGGCATATAATTCCTCCACACTCAGTTCTTTGTAATTTTTGCTCTAGGTTCACTTAGAATCGGTTCTGGATCGAATCTGACCTAGTTTCACCGACTCTAGGAATATAATAACAAAACCACAACTTTCTAAATTGGTCTTATACATAGCTCTTTGTAATGTTTGCTCTAGGTTCAACTAGAATCGGTTCCGGATCGAATCTGATTCAAATCAAATTTACAAATTTTCTGTTACAGCTCCTTGTTCTAGGTCAACTAGAATCGGTTCTGGATCGAATCTGACCTAGTTCTACCGATTCTAGAAGTATAATAACAAAACCACAACTTCCGAAACTGTTCTGAATTAGTTCTATACACTTTGCTCTAAGTTCAACTAGAGCTAGAATCGGTTCCAGATTGAATCTGCACTAGTTTTACCAAGTTTGATGCTTGATCAATGATCAAATTTTTGATCCAAAAAATCAACTCTATAGAACTGGCAACAACGTGTCGCCCCGGGGGCTTTAAATGTGCGTGTGTGTACAAACCGGTGAAGGAATGCGGGCCTCAGACAGAATCACAACAACATAGAACAGTCAACAACCTCTCTTTTCCCTTTACGCTAACTAACTCGACCACGGACTATAGAGAATCAGACAGTGGCGTGCGTGCCTACACCTTAAATGAATCAATGATCATTAGACAAATATATTGACCTCGATGGTACCGTTAACATTACACAGGTGGAATTTCATCAATGTAAATTCAAACGTCATCAAAATTGTTTCATATAAGTACCAGGAATTTTGCATCATTTAAGTGCGATGACCCTTTAATGTCAAGTACTATTAATAAGTACTTTCTCAAAAGGTACTTCTTTTGCCCTGTTTCGCTTTACTTTTATATTCATCTTGATTTCGGCCGGCCATTTCGTGAATTTTTATGAGGCGGGGCTTCGCCCTGACCAATCGGCGTACTGCAAATTCGCGGTTTCGCCTCAAGATGCCGGCGTTGCCAATTTGCACTGGTACTACTATAGTAGCCAATCAACCTGATAACAAAAAAATCTTCGAGTGTATGCGTGTTGGTTCATTAAACCCGAAATCCTCTGGAATGTTATACCTGGGTCCGGCCCTGTTATAAGTACCACGGCTTTTCCGAGAATCGGCCGAAAACCAGGTACTACTTTTCCTCGGCCAATGGGAAGGCGCCGACGCGCGCGCGTCGGGTTGTTTTCTTAGAAACCGCCTCGGTTCGGTGGTGCCGCGCTTTTCTCCTCTTGCCACCGATTCAGTTCCCGCCAAAATGGTGGTACGGCAGTTTGGTCCACACGTGTTTTGTTTTTTCGAAATAATAATTATTATGGCGCCAAATAATTGTGATTTGATTGGTGAGTGATTTTTGTTTTATTGTAATTTGAGTGGTACTTCGTAGCAAAGGATGTCAGTTTTTTTTGAAAAGTAATGCCAAGCGTGTTAGAAAAATGGCGCCCCTTTTTTTTTGGTACCAGTGATGCCCTTTTTTGGGTGGTATCAAGTAGATTTATGTCAATGTGTTATGAAATACCTGTTATAATACTTTTTGTAGTACCACCACCTAACTATAGACATAAACATGAAGATGTTTTCTTTGGTACCAATTCACATTAATATAAATGTAAACATATTTCTGGTACCTAAATTCCTCGAAGGTTTAATAGAATGTATTTTTTCTTTTCAGACACTGGGTACCACGGGTGGTCAAAGACATTTTCAGGACCGCCCCCGCAGACATTCTCACGTGGCAACTTCCGGATATCATGAAAGTTTTGAGTAAACACGAAGACGGTAAGTGGTACCACATTGATTATTATGTATGACGTTTCTGTTTGGCTCGATTCCAGTATCGCGATAATTTTCCTGCGGATTTTTATTACTCATATTTCGTCCATTCATCGGTTTTATTAAGAATGTGCTGATGTCGCGCCAATTCTCATTATTATGAGTCACATATATTCGTATAGACATGACGTTGGGTAATTTTTATTATAATTTGGCTTATATTACTGGCGCCAGTCATAAGATGAGATTATTATTAAATAAATAATTGAAGATTGTCTTAAAAATCAAATTACTATGGGAAGTTGTTGGGAAGGAATGCGACCTGGCAACGTGGGCAACAAGGATCGATAACTTTTAGTTTTAACAGCCGGCGGGGGTGAGAAAAGAGGGACGTTTTCGTTTCTTATTAGACACCTTCGTATAACGTCGATTTCTCGCACCCTTCAAATATTTTTGGTCGATTGGGAATTTTTCCCTACTGTAAAAAGTTTTAGTTATGAGCTTAGAAACTGTCACTTAATATTGACAGATAAATAATGAATTAAACATCATATTTGTCAACAAATCTGTCAAAAGTTACTGACTCAGTTAGCGCGCATATTATGAAACTATTCTCACAAGCTTGTTTCATTATTTTTCTGGAAAACTGGATGAAAATAGAAAGAATGGGTGCTAATTTAAGCCTAATGAATCCTCTTTTCAAGCTGACATTTTTCGGTAGGCATTTCCTGTGTTGACAGGAAGTCCTAGGGGGGGCCCCCCCAGCAAACATTCTGGATTATTTTCGTCTCTTCTCTGGAAATAAATTTATTGACGGCGCTGGCAAGCTGATGCTTCCACTTATAAACTTGCCTTTTCTCCTGTAAATTTCCTATATAGAGTCAAATTTTGTTGTCCAAATGTGTATGAAATATGTGTAAGTTTGGCAACATGGTTCGAAACGTAGACGGCGTCGTCGGGGCGGTGCTGCGCGAAGTTGAATGAAACGATGAGTACTACGAACTACGCCTGAACGTTCAACGATCTCGAGGCGGCGTTGCCGGACCAAGGCCGGATTGTTGGGTTGGTAAAGGTCAATAAATGCGGACGGTTTTATTTTCTTTTGCTCTGGATTTGCTGCTTTTTCCTCTCTTTCTAATATTTAACAATATTGACATACAATCTTTCGTTCAAATTTTTATAATTCTTAGATTGTTGTAATGAGGTCACTGGCCTTATTGAGGTTGATTTTTAATGAAATTTGGTCTAATTAGAAGAGTAAATATAAGCACATTATTATGTCATGTCTACGCCTGGTAATTTTTTGAAAAATGTATACTTTTTACTAGACATTTTCATGTAAGATTCATCTTAATCGGACAATAAACAGTGAAGTTATGGAGAATTTATACTGAGCCACTTTACAAGTTGTATAGTCTGTCAATAAGGCTTATGCTATAGGTAGGTGAACCAGAATCCTAATTATTGAGAAACCAATGGCGAGAAAAAACAGCATTCGTTACTCCTGATGGTCACTACGAATATTTAAGGATGCCGTTCGGATTAGTAAATGGTCCAGCGGTGTTTCAACGGATGATTAACCAGATCCTAGGCTCTATGGGATTTTCTACTGACTTAGCATACATGGTTCGTTCTCCTAGTATTGCGTCTGGATTGGTTGCTCTTAGGGACGTATTTGAAACCCTTCCGAAATGCAGGTGTCAATTTGCGACTTCAAAATGTAATTTGTTTAAGGAGCAAATTGATTATTTAGGACATGAGATTAGTGCTGCCGGTATCCGGTATTGAATTTCTCATAGTATAGATAGATCAAGATTCTCCATGTTGTTATTTTCCGCGGGAAAAATTTGAAATTTTGGGAAAATGAGCTTCTATCCTTCCTCTTTACATGCGAAAAGTTTCAAATTTTTCTCTTTATTAGTTTTCCAGGAAAACTTTGAAATGTGTGAGACTATATTTTCAATTAATTCAGGTTTTGTATGTTAACTTTCAAGATTTCTTATGTTGTTATTTTCCACTGGAAAATTTTTAAATTTTAGGAAAATAAGCTTTTATCCTTCCTCTTTACATGTAAAAAGTTTCAAATTTTTCTCTTGACTAGTTTTCCAGGAAAACTTTGAAATGTGTTACACTGTATTTTCAATTAATTCACTTTATGTAAGTTGATTTTTCCAAATTCTTCATGTTGTTATTTTCTACTATAAAAATTTGAAATTATGAGAAAATGATCTTTCAACGTCCCTCTTTACATGCAAAAAATTTCAATTTTTTCCCTTCACTAGTTTTCCAGAAAAACTTTGAAATGTGTGATACTGTATTTTCAATTAATTTAATTTTTGTAAGTTGATTTCCAAGATTTTTCATGTTGTCATTTTCTATTGGAAAAATTTGAAATTATAGGAAAATGAGCTTTCAACCTCTCTCTTTGCATGCAAAAAATTTCAAATTTTTCCCCTTACTAGTTTCCCAGGAAAACTTTGAAATGTGTGAGACTGAATTTTCTATTAATTCAGTTTTTGTTAGTTGATCTCCCAGATTCTTCAAGTTGTCATTTTTCACTGAAAAAGTTTGAAATTTTGGGAAAATGAGCTTCTAATCTCCCTCTTTACATGCAAAAAGTTTCAAATTTTTCCCTTTACTAGTTTCCCAGGAAAACTTTGAAATGTGTGAGACTGTATTTTCGATTATTTCAAGTTTTGTATGTTAACTTTCAAGATTTTTCATGTTGTTATTTTCCACTGGAAAAATTTGAAAATTTGGGAAAATAAGCTTCTAACCTTCCTCTTTACATGCAAAAAGTTTCAAATTTTTCTCTTTATTAGTTTTCTAGAGAAACTTTGAAATGTGTGACACTGTATTTTCAATTAATTCACTTTTTGTAAGTTGATTTTCAAAATTCTTCATGGTGTTATTTTCTACTGAAAAAATTTGAAATTATGGGTAAATGAGCTTTCAACCTCCCTCTTTACATGCAAAAAGTTTAAAATTTTTCCCTTTTTTAATTTTCCAGAAAAACTTTGAAATATGTGAGACTGTATTTTTAATTAATTCAGTTTTTGTAGGTTGATTTCCAAGATTCTTCATGTTGTTATTTTCCACTGAAAAAATTTGAAATTTTGGGAAAATGAGCTTCTAATCTCCCTCTTTACATGCAAAAAGTTTCAAATTTATCCCTTTACTAGTTTCCCAGGAAAACTTTGAAATGTGTGAGACTGTATTTTCGATTAATTCACTTTTTGTAAGTTGACTTTCAAAATTCTTCATGTTGTTATTTTTTACTAGAAAAATTTGAAATTATGGGAAAATGAGCTTTCAACCTCTCTCTTTACATGCAAGAAATTTCAAATTTTTCTCTTCACTAGTTTTTCAGGAAAATTTTGAAATGTGTGAGACTGAATTTTCTATTAATTCAGTTTTTGTTAGTTGATTTCCCAGATTCTTCAAGTTGTCATTTTCCACTGAAAAAATTTGAAATTTTGGGAAAATGAGCTTCTACCCTGCCTCTTTACATGCAAAAAGTATCAAATTTTTCCCTTTACTAGTTTTTCAAGAAAACTTTGAAATGTGTGAGACTGTATTTTCAATTAATTTAGGTTTTGTATGTTAACTTTCAAGATTTTTCATGTTATTATCAACTAGAAAAATTTGAAATTTTGGAAGAATGAGCCTCTAACCTTCCTCTTCACATGCAAAAAGTTTTAAATGTTTCCCTTCACCAGTTTTCCAGGAAAACTTTAAAATGTGGGTGTCACCCTTTGAGCGTTCCCGAGTTACTCCGAAGTACTCCAGCTACAGTTTGACCCGTTCGGTTTTAAGCATCCGAATGCAAAACGCATGGAGTATGACAGGTGTGACGTGTTCTAGGAGCACCCGAAAGCGGCTAAGAACTGAAACAGTCCAAAATTAATTTACAATAAAACAAAATACACTCAAGTGTTGAATTGGATTCTGAGTATTTCTGAGCAAGTTCTATTGGTTCTAGAGTATCCCAATAAGAACTAAAACAATTAAAGAGTTCCATTTCCTGTTCCAAAGTCGACAATTCTGAATTATTGGTACCCAAATTTGCGAAGAAAGCTTCTTTTTTTGTTGCTCCGAACGCATCTCGTATACGATTACTAAAATAAATCGCCTCCTACTAGAGATTATACTAACCACCGCGTGATCTTTTATCTCACTTCAAATGGGAGGACCCTAGAGAAAAAAGAATTTGCCTTCTTCGTCAGTGATGACGTCAGGAGTTCTTCTCAGTGGATTCTTACTCTAATTATATTTTTTTTGCACGAAATTTTGGTTCTGTTCTATTATATTTTCATTTCTCGCAATACATTTTTTTAGGTTGTTCTAGAACCGATAGAACTAGTTCAGAATCGATCCGGAACTACTGGTTTTCAATTATACACTGAGAGTATTTTCATTTCTCTACTTCAACCTTTTTTTTTTTGCACTAATTTTGAAACAAGACATGGAACTCTTTACTGTTTCGGTGTTTTGTTTGTTTGTTGGGATGCTCTAGAATCAATAATTCAGAATCGATCCAGAGCTGAACTAGATTGTGTTCGATTGTAGTTGGATCAGTTTACCCCCACTTACAAAAAAATGATTCAGATCTACTCTAGATCACAAGAAGTGAACTAAAAGTATTGCTGGTTCATTTAGATCAAATGTAAAAAAAAAAAACAAGAAAGCTTAGCTGCTATTATTGTATTCTTTTTATACATTGAGTTACACCGAACGTGTCACTCTAGAGCTCCTTGGAGTCACTCCAAAACACACAATTCAGATCATTATCATTATTTTTCAATATTATTAACATTACCTAAAAAGGCTTCTTGCACCACCACGCAAATTTGGTGCATCAGGAGAAAGAGAGATGCATTATGAGCGACTCGAGTGCTTAAGGCATTTTTAAAAGGAACGTTCAAGCTTTTGACATTGAGCAGCTCCGAGTAATTTAAAGGGTAAAAGGAATACATTATATCGGGTACCACCCTTTGAACTCTCCTGAGTTACTCCGGCTAGGATTTCAAGCGTTCGAGTGCAAAATGCATGGAGTTTGACAGGTGTGAAGTGTTTTAGAAGCTTCGCATTCTGCACCCGAAAACGGCTCTGTCTACACCAAACGAACAAGTGACAAGTCATACTTGGGAGTTATCGAATTGAATCTACTCTCATCGTTCTGGGTCGATCTGAACTGGGTCCTTTTTCTCGAAACGGGAGAGCAGCGTTCTTATGAGAACTAGTTACTCATATTTATATTTCCATAACACTGACAAACACAGATCAATCGTTCTTATGAGAACGCTGTTCTCCAGCTTCGAGATTAGATACTCTGAACTGCGTTACGAAGTGTATTTTCATCTCTTTTTTAGTCTGGTTAACAAAGAGATAGAAATAAATAAAAAAATTGCACCAAGTTTGGAACAGGACATGGAACTCTTTTAGTTTGTTTGTTTGTGTCGCACTAACTTGAACTAAGCTGTAATATTTCAGATTATGGCAGATATAGACCCATATAAAACGCTCATAAACGAACACCCCGAAGCACGAAATGCTGTTCCGAACAACACAAACAAACAAACCTTTTAACTGTTTCGGTTCGTGTTAAGATGCTTTAGAACCGATAGAGCTAGTTCAGAATCGATCCAGAACTGTTCAGTCGTATAAATGAAATATATCAAATGTTTCCACTCTGTTTCAGTGTAATTTTTCCTGCACTAAAGCTGAATATGTTTAACTTAGAAAACTTAAGCAAAAGCATTTACTTCTGTTTTATTCATATTAGTTCTTATTATAATTGAACTGACTGTATTTTCATCTCCTTCTCTCTCTCTCTTGGCCTAGTGAAGAAACAAATAGAAATACATATTTTTTGCACTAATTTTGGAACAGGACATGGAACTCTTTACTGTGGTTCTTGTTAAGATGCTCTAGAACCGATAGAACTAGTTCAGAATCGATCCGGAACTACTGGTCCTAATTATTATGCACTGAGTTTATTGCCATCTTTCTCTCTTGGCTTGGTTAAAAAACAGACAGAAATAATTTTTTTGCACTAACTTTGGAACAGGACATGGAACCCTTTACTGTTTCGGTTCTTGTTATGATGCTCTAGAACCGATAAAGCTGGTTCAAAATCGATTCAGAACTGCTCAGGAATGCGTTAAGAAATGGAGTGTAGATAGAGTAGTTATTTGTCAGAGTGTTATGACGTCATCACTGGTAGTGCACTCTGGGTGCCCTATTTCTGACGTTGCGGTGAATTATGTCAAAGGAAAATAACCTTAAAATCACGACAAAACGGCGTAGCGTTTTTTAACCCAGTCCCTGAGTTGGGTAATTTGGGCGCACTTTGGGCACGTTCACTCTCGATTTCAGCGTAACGCTCCGAGTAAGCACTAGTTAATTTATGAACATGTTAGAGTTACTCTAGGGTCACTCTCACACTCGGAGTGCAATTTTTAAACGCAACCTAGTTGTATGAATAAAGGTCGTGTTCGGATCAACACTTTGTAAACTCTGAGCGCGCTCGAAACAATAAGATCATGTTCGTTTTAGCTCTCAAACTGTTCTCTTTTGCGTTGGGCTTATGACAGCGTATGACGTCAAGATATCCATGCTCATACTGTTCTGCTCTGTGGAGTGCAAAATCGAACTCACATTGGTTGTGTATCAAATGCTTTTACTCTCTCTCTTTCTAACTGATTATATTTTCATCTCTTTCGTTTAGCTTGATAAAGAAACACACACAGAAATACTTTTTTTTTGCTCCAATTTTAGAACAGGACATGGAACTCTTTACTGTTTCAGTTGTTGTTAGGAGGCTGCACTAGCACTGATAGAACTAGTTCAGAACGGTTTTAAGGGCGAAAACCGTTGATAGAATTAGTGTAAAAAACATGTATTTTCGTCACTCTTTCACATGCTAGTAGAAAAGGACACGAATACATTCAGTATGCACTCAATACTCAGCTTACCAATGGATTTCATTATAATTATTATTAAATTGACTTTATTTTCATCTCTCTCTTCCGGCCTGGTAAAGAAACAGATAGAAATACATTTTTTCTACAAACGTCGCTAAAAGTGTCATTTTTAACGGATCCTGTCAGTGTCTAAAATGCCATTTTATCACACTGGTGTTAAAAGTGAAAACTTCCCTTTTCACAAAATAAAATGTCACTTTTAGCACTTATATCATAAATAACTATTTTCTGCATTAATTTTACAGTGTTTGCCTCGAACCAAGATTGTTTGAGAGAAGTAGGGGCCGAATTTATAGTCGCTCCTTGAGGTTTCCTCAAACCTTGAACGTTTAGAATTGACTTGATTAACTTGTTAAATAGTAGCAAGTGTCCATTCTAAACTCAGAGTCTCCAAGGAAGACTGAGGGCGAATTCTCATGAGCGTAAGTTGATATATCTGGCGTAATCACGTGATAATATGGTGTAATCTGATTAGTGAAATCTCCAACATGTCAAATATTTTTCCAATAAAAACTTAACCATTTTATCACGTGATTACGCCAGAAATGTCAAATGAGATTGGCGAATTCTCATGAGCGTAAGTTGACATTTCTGGCGTAATCACGTGATAAAATGGTTGGGTTTTATTGGTAAAATATTCGCCATGAAAATCTAAAAAAAATTGAGGTCATGCCTCATTCTCACTCGCTTTTTTTTGACATTGCTTCGACAATTTGACATTTTATGCGTGTATCAAACGTCAAATTTTCGAAGCAATGTTAAAGCAGAGTGAATTTCGCGCAAGTTAGAATGAGGCATCAGGGTGCCACGCCTTGATGTTGTTTTTAATCGTAAAAACACAATATTAGAGGGGCTGCCTAGGGGGGGCCCTGGCCCGAAACCCCCCACTTAGATGCGCCACTGGGTCATGAACAACTCATAACTTCAAAAATAACAAAAAGAAATCTTTTAAAACACCGCTTTGATAAAAATATCTGAGAAAAAGCAGGAAAAATCGCCAAAAACAAGAATCTGTAACCGACCAAAAGTGAGGTTATGCTGTGAAAAATCTGTCAGATTGAAGTTGTCAACGTTAAAACTAATGGCGTTTCCGATTGGTAGATTTAATACGCACTGAGTGTATTTTCATCCTTTTTCATCAACTTGTGGAAGAAAAAGACAGAAATAAAAAAAACTGCACTATATCTACTAATAGGAAACGGCATGAGTAAAAAGTGATAAAAATGGCGACACCTTATGCGTAACCATAAAATCCGTTGCGCAGTCGTCTAAGCGCACTAGTACTCATAACTGCGAAATTCGCATTTTTTTGACATTGCTTTGACAATTTGACGTTTGATACACGCATAAAACGTCAAATTGTCAACGCAACGTCAAAAAAATGCGAATTTCGCAGTTATGAGTACTAGGTATATCTCTGAGATTTGCATTGTGTTTAGGCCAATGGTTTAGGCATACAGATGACGTCATAAAAGTTATGCAACCTACTTCTCTCAAATAACTTTGACCGCGAACCGAGGTTGTTTAAAAGTGAGAGGTTGCCTGATAGCTTTCATGACGTCATCTGTATGCATAAACGTAATGTAAATCACCATAAGGCATCCAACATGCGTCATCAAGTTACCCATTACCAGACAACCTATAAACTTCAGGAACCTTGACTGCGAACAACATTAATAAATCGCTTATATAAAATATTGTTCTCAATACCTATATCTGTCTTGGTTTAATACATGGAAAACAGGG